TCTCTCTCTCAGTCTCTCTCTTCCCACATGGACCGTGCAGGACACCTGGGTTCCCTGCACTTATATATATATATATATATATATTAAATATAAGGATAATAATTATTGAAAGACAGAAAGAAAAGCTTAATCCTTTTCACAGTAATTTAAACCGACTCACCAACGTCGTTGGGATGCTGGCAAGAGACCAGGGTTTGGCGTGTGCTTTGCATGAAATGGGAAGGGGAAGCGCTCAGAGGATGGGGCGGTGGGGGTGGGGGTCAAGTGGGACCAGGAAGCACCTGTCCGTTTCAAAGAAAAGAAAAGCTCAGAAAAGAGGGAAAGAAAACCCCAATCCGGAAGTCTGTCTCCTTTTTTTTTTCTCTCCCTTCTCTCTTTCTTTCAGTACTCCTTGTGCGCTCGGACGCGAGGCCTCGAACCCCATCAACAGCTACGCCTGGGGTGGTTGTGCTGTTGTGAAGTCTGTAAAAATAAAAGCTTGTTGTATTTTCTCTCCTGGCCGGGGTTCCAATTGCACTGTGTGTGTGTGTGTGTGTGTCTGTTGGGTGGGGGTGTGTGGGGGTGTCTGGGAATGTGTTTGTATATCCCTTTGTGTGTGTGCACCCATGTCTGTCCGTTCCTCCTCTGTGCACATCAACATTTATGCAAATGCTCAGAACATCAAGCTTAACCGAAGAGGTGATCTCTGGGTAGATGGGTGGTATTCTAAGTAAGTAAGTAAGTAAGGCATCGAAAGCCTAGGAAGAAAGGAGAAGACTACATAGTGTCCACGGACAGCATTATGTCATGTGGTGACCGATCATCAATGGATTGTTGATGCCTCTCAGAAGTCAGTTCATTCAAGGCGCCATCCAAAAAAACAAACAAACAAACAAAAACCACACCTTGCAGCCCCTCTCGGGCCCTCCTGGTGCACCTCATGCTTATGGTCTCCCTTCCGTTCTCCCACACCTCGCCCTCCCAACTCTGCCCTCAGTGACCGAGCCCCTTGATGCACGTCACGTACCAACACCTTCTTTCTGTTCAGGCCACTTAACCTGGCTGACTCTCCACCTCTACGGCCTCCATCCTGCTCCGGCCCAGATACCTGAACACTTTTTCTGTTTTCCAGCCTGCCACCAGAGCTAAAACAGGCCTGCCAGGTCAGGCAGCTTCCAAATCGCAGAGGGGGGGTCGACATTTCCCCAACCCCCCCCCCCCCAGTTTTATTTTCAAATCTCCAAATACTAACCCACTTGAGACAGCATCAAACAGGGTCCCTGGTGTATCTGGGAATGGATGCGATGAGATGAAATGCAGAAAATGTTTCTCAAAATAGTAGTGCCGCATTTATTTATTTTTTAAAAAAGGTCCCCTGGTTTGTTCGTTTTTCTCTGCATGTAAAATAAAAGTAGCGACAACGTACAGATTGTAGTGCAAGAACTGAACCCTGTGAGATGATCTGTGTTTCCTTTTTTAAAAACAGGGACAAGTTTCCAGTCCTCATTGCTGCAACGCAACATTGAGCACTGGAGGGCTTTGTTCTTGCACTTGGGAGGGCGAAGACAGGCTTTGTTTTCATGAGTCAAAAGTGTCAGGTTAAGACCTAGCTGGGCAAAACAGCCTGAAATAGTTCCCTTTGTCAACTACAGCACCCAGAATCCCCCACCCATCAGAAATCAATGGAAGGGAAATATGGGAGCTACCCTCTGAAACAGGATGAAGGGACAAAAGTTTCTCACCTCTGAACTACACACAGGTGCTAAAGAAAAGAATTAAGGACCACGGTACCCCTGAGCATACATTTGTCAGTACTGGAAGTAAATTTACTGTTCTCCTACCTGCTCCCTTTTTTTTTCCTTAATGAAAGCTGACACATGGCAGGGGTCAAAGAGAAAAATAAACCCTTTAGTTTCCAGGAGTGGTAAGCCACTGTGAGTCAGAAAATCTTACAGATCTCTTATAGATTACCCAGAAATCGAACAACAGATCTTGAAATAGCTCTGCCCATCATTGAACCTGAGATATTTTTCCATCACTGGCTACCCGACCACTTTAATTAACGACACCAGGATTGACCCAGGCACCTAACATCCGAAGCAGAGCTGCTGCTAATAAGTTATAGTCTCTGCAGCTCGGTGCTGTTGTCAATGGGGAAAGTTACTTTTTTATTTTGAAGCACCACTACACCCATTTTCCTCAGGCACCCCGCAAATTAGCCTCCAAAACCTCTCCGTGATGAGACTCAGAGAGACTCAACGAAAATCACATTCAACAGCTAGTTCAACTAGGTTTTGCACATTGAAGACAGGGTCAAGAGGTGGTCCTCTTGGCCTCTGACAGCGAAAGGTCTCCAGATCAAGCCCGATCGGAACAGCAAAATCATCACAACACTCGGAGATGCGCAACAATCAACCAAAGAGGCAAAGCAGCCCTTATTTGTGATAATTTAATACCAGCTAAGTGATGGCTCTTACTCAGGCCAGAAACTGCTTGTGGTGCCCTAAGCAGTGTGTGTGTGTTTTTAAAAAAGTCTCCCACATCTGGCCCACTTTCCAAAGTCAAAACATCTGGCCTTCTGTAAACATTGTAACAATGAAACCTTTATGCCTGGAAGGACTGGAAAATATCACATTGATACCTTCGGAATTCCTTCGGTGAGATGTTAAAATCGCAGCATTGAGCTAGCTGTACATAAGACAGCTTTCTCGGTGCTAAGATGCCCAGATTCAGAAGGAAAATAGCTCACCCATCACAGTTCCCCCCCCTAAGGTTGAAGTAAATTAGGGCCGGCAACATGCCACCCCTCTATTTCAGTGGTTCCCGACCTTGGTTCTCCAGATGTTCTTGGGCTAAAACTCTCGGAAGCTTTCATCCCTCGCTGTGCTGGCCCAGGATTTTTGGGAGTTGCAGTCTAAGAACATCTGGGGACCCCAGGTTGGGGCACCACTGCTCTAGACCTCGGACTACAATTCCCAGCAGCCGCCAGCCAGCACCACTACTGAGAGGAATGCTGGGAGATGCCATCCAACCACCTCTTCGGCCACTCAAGGATTCGTTGAATAACGAAGCCGGAAAAATCTTAGCATCAGCACCCCAGTAACTCCATGGCCACCACTGACGAATCGTCCAGCGTCTTCCCTTTCGTTACAAAAATGTAAAAATAAAAATTTAAAAGACAAACCCAAACGCAACAGTAACCAACATACGATTCAAAACTGCCCCCAGAGATTGGCTCGTTAAATAAGAAACTCTTCGGCAGCAACAGAAGGTCCGCGTCCCCCCCCCCCTTAAGGAGTCTTCTTCGCTCTTTGTTGGCTGGCCTTTAGCTCATCCTGTAACAGTAGACACCAAATTTCCCGGACTTGGGGTAACCAAAGCTCCTGACGCCTGGTTCCAGCGGGCCGCAGTTGGGCCGGGGGAAAGCGATGGGGTAGCGCACGCTCCCGTCGGCCAGCCAGCCAGCGTCGCATTGATCCAAGCCCATGAACTTCCATGCCGAATAAAGTTGGCCCACCTTGGCGATCTCAGCTTGGTCATCCTGACATGCTTGCTTTGCCTCTTCCAAGGTGAATCTCTGGTGATGGGCCAGATAATAAACAGTCCCTGTTAGAGAGGGCAAAGATCGCATGAACAGATGAGCCCAAAATACCCCTCAAGATTATTTGCATTTATTTAGCCACTTAGCTATGTCTCCCTCGTTTGTTTTAACTTGGTGCAACTTACAATACGAATATCGTATTCTTCAACCAACACTAAACACAGAAAATGGGGATTTGTTAATGTAACTACATTTTTTAATGTAAAAAAAGAAGCTAGGAGTCAAGGTGGTTCCTAAAATGCTTAAAAAATAGCCACATTTTAAAAAACTAAATAAAACACAGTTAAACCAGTTTTATTCTTAAAAACCCAATGGGCAGAATCCTGAGGAATGGGGAATACACATCACAAATTGCTGAATCAGCCTACTGTTGGCATTAGCAGCAGCCTTGTGAGGTCTTCTCTGACCTGGTACTCTCCAGACATTTTGCACTACAACTCCTATCATCCTTGACTATGGCCCACACTAGCTGGGGTGGACGGAAGTTGTGGTACAGGACCCCATGTTTAAGAGAGCTAGGCGAATGGCTGTATTTTCAATGGAAACAGTCTTCAAAAGCAGCCCCATGTAGAGCGCATTACAGTAGTCAATCCAACAGGTTAACAAAATGTGGTCCAGCACTGGCCAGGATCTGCCGTTTGCTGTCCCTTTCTTTCTGGAAGTCCTCTCTTTCTAAAAAAATAAAATAAAAATCAGTTGTTAATTTTAGAGGAGCAAAACTCACCTTTCAGAGCAGAGGAGAAGCAGAAGACATCAAAGCGGTTGAGGTTCTTGTGGCGTTCCCCGTAGTTCCGGATGCCGGAGGCCACACCCTTCCCGCCACAGGGCTCCCGTGGCACCGTGATCGGGTACTGGACGGTGCCATCTATCAACCACCCTGCGTTACACCAGTCCAGACCCTCCATCCAAGAATCAAAGAGCTGATCGAACGAGGCGATCACAGCATCCTGCTCTTCGCAGGCTTTCTTGGCCTCGTGGAAGTTGAGCGTGTACCGCCCGCGGTGAGGCTGGTAAGGAAAGACCACACCTGAAAGGGCAGAAAGTTGGTGGGGTGAGCAGAAGATGATGGCTGTTTAACAGGCACCACGGCTGGATGGCAGCCTCAGTGCGTTAACATGAAACGGGTGTGTCTTTCACCCAACGTAAAGAAGAGGTGAGGAGAACCAAAGGTCGTTTGAAAGAGGACCAAGATATGCACATGAATGAGAGGTTGATCCAAAAGGACGGTCATATCCTGATAATTAGGTTTTGTGTCAGCATAGCCTTTCACAGAGGATGATATTAGCTGGTTTAGGAATAAGTTCAGGAAAACTGGTGGAGAAGAAAGTTAACCGTGAGGGCTAATCAGGATAATTATAATTACCATATTTTCTGCGTATAAGACGCCCCCATTCATAAGACACCTCTCCATTTTTCTAAACCAAAAGTAAGAAATCTAAGTGGAACTTAGCAAGTGTAGGGGGAAAGGGATGAAAGCACTGCATGATCGCTTTGATCCTTGCTTTCCCTTCCATTTGTTTTTCTTCTCTCCTCAACTTACTTCTGTGTATAAGACAACCCTCAATTTTTGTTCTAAAGACTTTATACAAAAGTATAGTCATATACACAGAAAAATATGGTAATTAATTAATTAATGACCTCACGGTTGAAAGAGCCTTGGCTCATCATACTGGCTGCTAGTCTACAGAGAAGTCAGTGCGTTCTCAGCTTGCCTGTGAGCTTCCCATAAGTGTGAGATTGATTCAGACTATAAGACACAGAATGCTGCCCTAGACAGGCCTACAGGCCAATCTAGCAGGGGGGGGACCATATTAACTTTCACACATCAGTTTTTGGGATCCTTTTATTGCCCCCCCCCAAAAAAAGCTGAAGTAACCCATTTCATTAGCACCTTTGAAGGGGACCACAGACTGGAAACAGTTCTTCACACACTACCTTATAAGGTTCATTATGCAAGCTATACAATCCTAATTCAGCCTATATTTCTTCCATATTGTATTTATGGGCATGACAAAAAAAGAAAGCAGGTTGAGAATGGCTGATCCAGACCATATTGCCTTCCTTCCAGATGCCGTAGACATTGATTTCCATTATCCCTAGCTGCTAGGGGATGGTGAGGAATGATGGGAACTGGAGTCCCAGCAACATCTGGAGGGCCCAGGATCAGCTGCTCCTGGTTTAAATCACTGCTCCAGCCCCGCAGTTCACAGACTTTCCCTTCCATATTTTTTCCACCCCAGCACATGTTCAGATGCAAGCATGCTGGGCTCTTTAAAAGAAAAACACGCTGGTGGTATTCTTATATAGAGCCTTATTCTCAAATGGAGAGCCAGAGATTGTAACCTTAAAAAATGGCATAGACTGTTGGCGACACCTAGTGGCAACATCAAAGAGTAGAATAAATTCTGTCTCATTCTTACGAACTTCCCGAATTTCTGCTTAGGACTAGACGAAGGTTTCCATTCAAATTTGGAAGTCAATTTTGGGCTTACAAATGTATTCCAACTTGTACCCCATTCAATTCAATTTACATCCCAAATCCTTATTGGTTCCAATCCTCCTATGGGCTTTCATGGGGAAACCAAAAGTTTTTTTTGGGTTCTGCACAAACATACTCAAAATTTAGCAAAGGAACAGATCCTAAAGAAGGAAGTAAGCCTCGCAATTTTCGCACACCTGGCTTCATGGGTCTGCAGACAAAACACCTCTAAAATTTGCTTTTTTCTCCCCCCAAAGCAGAAATTATCTGTGCCCAACGAATACAAGTTTTACACTGGACCCATACCAATTTGCGAATTGAGTTTGCTCCACTCCTGGAGCAAATCTGACTCCACTGCTTCAATTGAGGCCACAACAATTTCATGAGTAATGTGGTATTTGCCCAAATCCAGTACACAACCCAACTTCTAATAAAAGCAGAGATGGCAACTCAAGTCGTTGGATTCATTGTAAAGTCAAACTTAAGCCACACCAGTGACTCGAGTCCATTTCCACCACCCCCATGACTCAGGCTCAATGTGTGACTCAGAACACACACACCCCTCCTTTTTTCCTGGGGAAAAAGATTACTTTGAATAATAGGGACTTGGGAGCAAAGACTCAGACTTGGGATGCAGAACTCAAAGACTTGCCAGTATCCCTGAATAAAAGCCTGAATTGTCTTCCTCCCTCTGTGGCCCCTGCTGTGATCTAGGCTCTCCTCTGTTTCCAGCTCACCTCTCAGTCCGAGCTCCACAATCCCACTCTCGTCTTCCAGCCCATCGATGACCTCGCAGCGGTACTTCCCAGCGTCGTGCAAGTCGATGTCCTGGATCACCAGGGACACTTCCTCCTCCGAAGACCGCTGGAGACGGGTGCGCCCTCGGAAGTGGCCGAAGCTGCGGTGCTTTGACCCAGAGGCGACCAGCACGTCCGCGTCTTTCGTGCTGTCCTCCTGCAGTTTGGACCACTTGATCCGAATCTTGCGCGGCGCCGCCAGCTGGGGGGAGTAGTAATAGCGGCAGGGCAGCGTGACGTTGCCGCCCCGGTGGGAAAAAACGGCATCGTGTGATGTCTCGATCATCAACCGTACGCCACTGAATTGAACTGGGGGATAGAAAAAGAGATGGAGATGGCTAAATAGGCAAGACTTCATGTCTTCCGGGTAGAGTGGACCACCCATTCCCATCAGCCAGCCTTCCCAATCATAAGGCGTGATGGCTTAGGTATCAATCATCGAGAACCGAGGACCCCCTGCCTCTACAGCAGTTCCATCCCTATCTCAAACTCTAGGAAAACTCTCCCCTGTTCCTCCCACCAGGGGCCTGTTTGTTTCATCTTCTTCCCCTACCTTCTCCATTGCTTTCTCCATGATCATTCATGACGCGGTCATAGTAGAAGCCATTGTAGAAAGGCAGGCTGCCCCGAATGCTGCCCGCCTGCAGCAGCATCACCACCAGGGGAAACAGCATGGTGGGCAGGAGGATCTGGAACTGATGCCTGTCAATCAAAGGAAGACAAGATAACAGCATGGTGGGCAGGAGGATCTGGAACCGATGCCTGTCAATCAAAGGAAAGACGGGTGTGGATTCAGGCTGGAACTATGCAGTCGCAGCATGAAGGACCGGAAGAATCTAGAAACCCCAGAAGAAAGAGGAGAGGGTCCGAGACGTTGTCCATGCCGTTAGCAGCACCCGGACCCCAGGTTGATCGACAGACACCCAAATCACCTTCTCACTGTGTCCCCTCCAATATGGGGAGATCCTATGTAATAAGAGTAGTTCTTCTCTAAATCTGCATCTCCTTCTACGGCATATACAAGTTACACCTCTACCAGTCTCTTCTTTCGCTGTTGTTTCAGTCGATGCATTTCCTGGCTTTGGGCTATGTCCAGGAGATCTCATAAACCTTTCCATAAATAAATGCTATCAAAGCAAAACTTAAGAGTAGTTCTTCTCTAAATCTGCATCTACTTCTACAGCATATATAAGTTACACCTCTACCAGTCTCTTCTTTCACTATTGTTTCAGTCGATGCATTTCCTAGCTTTGGGCCATGTCCAGGAGATCTCATAAACTTTTCAATAAATAAATGCTATCAAAGCAAAAAAGGTGTATGGAACTTCTGGATAGTTCAGCGGTTTAGGTCTCTCCAGCTGGGGAGTCAGAGGTTGGGAGCGCGATTCCCCGCCGTGCCTCCTTGCAAGGGGCTGGACTTGATGATCCCACGGGGTCCCTTCCAGCTCTGCAATTTGGGGAGGATGCACAGGGTCCCTTCCAGCTCTGCAGTTTGGGGAGGATGATGATGCAGCCATTGCACACCTTCATTCCAAGGCTCCAGTCTTGTTTCCTTCTTCCACCTCCAGTCAACAGGATTGAAAAATGTATGGTGGAGGGAAGGACAGCAACGGCTCTAAACAGCTGATCCATGAATTGGTTTGGATTTCAACTTGAAATCCAAATACCAAGCAGAACAAAACTTAAAGACCCTCAGATCAAAGTCATGTGAATTTGCATCCTTGGCTCCTTTTCCAACATGAGAAGGGAGAAAAATTTTTTAAAAAAAATCACAAGCGCAATTGCGAGAAGGCAGTATTGCTTTGTATGTCCTACCTAGTAGAACATTTAAAAAAAAAAAAAAAAATCACAAACGCAATTGCGGGAAGGCAGTATTGCTAAGCACCCTTTGTATGTCCTACCTAGCGTTTAACCTCCCACAAGAACTTGATGCACAGCTTTGAAGAAGAGGATTTACCATCAAAAGCTCGCTGTTTGTTTTGGGGTTTTTTAATATTCTTAATGGTCAATTAAAAGTATCACCTGTTCCTATGTTTGTATTAAGCATTACAGGGAGCACACCTCGAACATTGCTGCAAAACCTCTGTTGGCCCGTAGAGGGCGCTTTGCTGCCATAAAGTTTCCTGTAAACTATTTTGCTCAGGAATTTGACTTTTTGGCCTCTTGGCTTGGGCAGAGCACTATAGCCACCTTTTTGAACCCACTGCCCTTGTCGGGTGTAAAAGGTACAGGGCTGGCCCAGACTTGAAACCTTTTCTTCCCTTTTTTCCCCACCAAAAGGCTTCCACCCGTCCTTGCCCAGAGTTCCAGAAATCCACACATTCCATACTCACCTTTTTTCCAAGGTTATTCCCTCCCATTTGAAAGATACCCCCCCCCAAAAAGAGAGAGAAATACATGTTCTGGACAAGCCTATAATCTACAGGATTTAAAAATAAATGTGGACAAAGGGGAGGAGTAGAGAAGGCGAGGTGGGAATCCCAAAACAGGCCCTTAAAAATCTCAGAACGCCGAGGAGGAAGGGCAGAAGAAGATGGGAAAAGCAATAGTCTCCTGGAAAACTGAGCCGCAGCGCTCTGCACATCAACGAGTCGGTCGGGGGTCCCTTTTGCTCCTAATAATGTGGATCAGGACAGACTGGGGAAAGTCTCACCCTTCACTGAAGGCAGAATTACGAGAAAACGCAAGTGGCCACAGGCGTCTGGCAGCAGATAGAATTGTAATCGGAGGCAAACTTCCCTCCTACACCGGGGAAATGGGGTTCTTTTCAGACTGAGGACCAGTCCAGAGTTATAGTATTTGCTTTTCAAAGCAGCTCTCCTAGCTAGTATTTTTGCCTAAATGCCTAATTCTAGGCAAATTCTAGGCTCAAAAATATTTATTGATATTTACTATGCATTTGAAAAACAACCCATGCTAAAGGGCTTAATTGCTTAGAATGAGATAGAGGATTTCTGGCTAACAGTGTGTTTATTCACAGCCAATTGCTTAGAATGAGATAGAGGATTTCTGTGTTTATTCACAGCGCAGGGCAATTGAGCTTTCTGGCTTACCTCCAGGAAAAGGGGTACAGGATTCTGGGTTAATTCTCTGCTCGGGGATGATTTTGATTAGAAGGGAACAAGTACAGGTTTTTAAGCAAGGGGCTGAGTGGCCAGCATATGAGGGGGATGCAGGTTTGGAACTGAAGACCTTCCGATGATCTCTTACGGTTGTCTGCTCGGAGCAGTGAAACATGCAACTGTATCTGAAGACAGTCCTCCGTCGCATTTCAGATTGGGTCAGAATTGCCCGTCTGCCAATGAAGACTGACCAGAACGAGGGGAAAAGCAGAACGGTGGGTCAAACTGAGACACAACCTGCAGACTCCCCCAGAGGTGGCCGCGGCGCCTGGTGTCAAGCTTGGCAGAAGGAGGCGGCTGTTTCAGGAAGCCGATACTAAGCGGTGCGAAGGCGACAAGCACGATGCCCGTCTTGACATCTTTCTCGTCTTGGAAGTCTTTTTGCCACCTCCAAAGCAAGCCACCTGCCTTTAGATAGGACGGAAGAAGCTGTCCAGTCTCCCTACAAAATTCAACCGTGCATTTGTTCGACATCCATGGGGGATAACAGAAATTGTCTTGAGCTAGCCCTGCCTAGAATTTTCTTTTCCTCTGCTGCACTACTACTGATTTCATGCCAAAAGGGAAAAAAAGCACCATATCTTGTCCATGAACCTGTAGCTATATTCTTAGACGATTCGTAAGGAGAACCCCCAGATACAGGAGCAGTATACCCCAAGATTTTGGAGACATTGCTTTTTTTTGGCCACATTTCTCCCAATCCCATGGTTGCTTGCTGAGAAAAGGGAAAATGAACTTTTCAACTTCTGGCTCACCCTCCGTTAGCAAGAGGAGAGAGGGGAGGGAGCACTTTTAAACACGGAAAAGCAAGCCAAGCCAGCTTAGATGATCGTCTGGCAACTCGAAGCCAGCACTGAAGCTGAGGGACCCGATGGTCTCCTAGGCAGCGTGATAAACTATGTCATTTCACAGTATCACATTTGTTTAATTCTGCCGAACTCTGAATGTCTTTCTGTTTCGGAGCCGCAGACCTGGGTTCTTGGGTTACATCGTGGGGCACAAGGCAGTAGAAATAGCTTCATTTTGCATTTCCTTGGGCCAGGTCCAGCAAGGCGGGCTTCCTTTGGAAATGATACAGAAACGGACGCTAGCTGCACAGCCCCCAGACTTTATCGTACAGCGGGATCCCACTGGATCCAGCCTTTTGGCATTTCAATCCCTCCAACCTTCTGCCTTCATCGTTTTTTCCCAAAGAAGTACACACAGTTTTTATTCCTCTAGGCACGTGCACAGCCCAATGATATCTTCACGACAACCCGGTGAGGTAGGTCACGTAGAGAAGCCACTGAGGAAAAGTCTCTCAGTTGAGCCTTCTGGCCACAGACAGAATTGTTATCAAAGGCAAACTTCCCTCCTACTCCAAAATGGAGCTTTGAACCTGACTGCCTTAGCCCTCAAGCCAACACCCTAGCCCTGCTCCTGCCCCAACCCGAATTGGCTCAATCTCTTTGAATTGGAAGAGACAAAGACTGCAGAGATGGGGAAATCTTAAGCTTTTGGACTAGATGGCTAGGGTATTTTTTTAGAGAGGTGCTCCACAAAAAAGTTACATATTTCCCCTCTCTGCTAGAGCGAACAGATATTTCTGGGAGAGGTTTCAGAGCAAAGCCTCTTGCCAAAGGAAGGACCTTCTCCTGTGCAGGAAGCTGCACCTCTGTGCTTCTGAGTGTGACCGAGTGGACAGTGGAGCTTCCATATTCAGGAACAGTAAACCTGAATGTAACAGCCTACCTAGAAAAAAAGGTGCCGATCTCCAAAGAACAGGGAATTTTTGTGGGGACGTTCCAGATGGACATGGTCAGATTAGTGAGGCATTTTGGGGGATGATGCTTCGTCTCGTTTTGTTTTGTTTTAGCAAAGTTTAAGTAGCTACTATCTTACTGATAAGTAAATGTTGAGTATTAACTGCATCATAGTTTATATTTTCCCCAATCTCAGCAGGGAAAAAGAAGAACGGGCCTGTTTCCATTCTTCTCCTGATCTTCCATCAATGGGATCATTGAGAAGTACCCTTCTTTCAGCTTCGAAATTATACACCAGAGCGCAGTGGCGGTTCCTGCCCGTTAGTCTGCCAGTTGTGTTGGATTTCCCATCCCAAATGCCATCCCCTTTTGCTGAAATTTGCGCTTTGGGCAAACAAAGCCGAGTGGCATTCGTTCCTCTCCTCCAGGTCTCATAGAGTAGCCCCCCATGTGGACTGCAACTCTCCAAATCCCCAGAATTGTGTTGACTGGGGGTTTCTGGGAGGTAAAGTACACAGCTAGACGATTTTTTCCAAGCCCCGATCCTCTTCCAGACGGGATGATCAGCCCCTACGCTCCTGTGAGATCATTTTCTCGGCTCTGTTTCCTCTCTGCTCCCTGGTGCTTCGGAATTCTCACCAGAAATTTTAAAAATCTCCAATATGGATCGGAAGACCACAAATTGCAGGGAACTGCCCCAAATCTTTATTTAATCCCCTAAAGGCACCCGGATTCCCACCCAGCTTCTCTCTGGATAAACAACCGGTGGCTGTTCTTACACCCCCTCTCTTACCTAAACAAGCAGGGGCTTCCTTTCCAGCTTCCAGCCGGGAAACAGA